GACGGCCTTGCGGATGCAGTTGAGCAGCACGATCGGGCGGAGGCTCGAGCACACGCCTTGCGGCTTGTTGGGCTTGGGCAGGCAGATCAGCGTCCATTCGCCGAGCTGGATAGGCCGTCCTGTAGTTAGACCTTCGTCGAGCAGTTGGGCGAGCGGCATGGCGACGAGGTCGACAACGGCCTTGAGGATTTCGGCCGGCATGTTGTCGGTGCCGCAGGCACGGTTTTGTTGTGGAGCGTCTTTATGGCGGCGTGAAGTTCTTCGGGTGTGATGAGCTGGTCGAGCTGGCGAACTGGGCCTGTGGACACTAGTCCTGATTGGACGATTCTTGAGCAAAATTCGGGCTTCGTTTCTTGGCCACATTCAGGAAAAGCGTGCGCATTCGACGACACAAGAATGTGTACTGGGACGCGTAATAGATTGGTCGTTTAGTAACCAGCATTTTCTTCCCCGATTTTCGATTCGCCCTCGATTGGCCATTTCATTTTGAGCAAATGACGTGGTGCAATGTCTAGTAGTCGTGACAGCACGCACTGACATACGCTGCACGCGGACACGTCAGATTCATATAAAGGCGCACGGGCTCGTGTGATGGCACAGTCGATCCCCACCTCACCTCGTCGTCACACCCCGCATGCAATAGCAAGCCATATCATGTTTCGAAATGTCGAATCGCGTCCATGGTTCGACACGCAACTGTAAAATGACCGGCGCACGTCACAGAAGTCTTTGCACTGGTGACGTGTCCCAAGTGCGGAATCTACGAGTTGAGAGGCTAGATGCAGAATTCTGCGATCGTGAGTCAGCCGCCCGTTCTCGTCGGCGAAATGATGGTCAGGTGATGCCGGCGAAATATTGTCGTTCTTTGGTTGAAGTTCGGGTTGTATTGTTGACAGTGACATTCACTGGAATTTGAGGCTTTATGGAGAAGCGTACATTCTGGTGCCGCAAGCTTGGTGCTATTAATAACGTTAGTGCTGGTACCGGTGTATGTAGATGACGCAGGCTGTTTAAATGATGTCTATAGTCATACTGTCAATCGAATGACGTCAGGATATGAAGTTGGGTTTACAGTTCTCATACGAACTAACGCTGCGTGTCAAGACTTCAATTAACCGTGCCGTCAAGTCGACAAAGAT